TTTAACCACTTAATCAATTCAGCAGGATCATCTAGACGTGGAATTCTAGATCCTGTGATACACAAAGCTAGAGGAACAAAACCACACAACTTAGCCAAATCCGACAGGTTTTCATCTTTTACTTCTTTATTGCGACAAAACTTTCTCAAAAGTTCGACACTAGCACTTTTATCCAACTCTCTTAAATGAACGTTTTCGGTAGTTCCATCAGGAATTGAGAATTCGGTTCTTGTCGTTGTAAGGATCTGCAACTGTCGCCGTGAATTCTTTCTGAGAGTAACTGCTAACTCAGTAAACTGAGATATCACGTTGCTTTCAAGCAGCTGCTCAATGTTGTCTATGACAAGGACAACTTTCTTCTCAATACTTTTTAACCAAAATATCAACGATGATTCAGGATCGTCTCCAGGATTCACGCCAACGTCACGACAGAGACGTTGAATAACTTCAGGCACAGTAGAAACATTTGACAGGAATGAGAAAATGACTTCAATATCATGACTATCGCTTAAATGATGGGAAACTTCGACTGCGACAGTGCTTTTGCCAAACCCTGGTCCACCAACAATTGAAACAATTCCACAGTCTTCATACACCAAGGAACAAACGATTTTCTTCACTTCGGCGTCACGCCCAAAAATTGTTGGCGGTTTGTCGGGTAAACAGCTTTTTTGTTGGAACCGATCCTTAGTTCCTTGTAATGACTTGATGTCAGCACGAATTTCACTAATTTCTCGGCAAAACAACTTATCACGATCTATTCTTGTTGAGCATTCCTTTCTGTAATTTACCAAATTTTCTAACATTCTTTCCTGTTCCTTGATAACTTGTCTGTCGAAGCTTTGATCTTCTTTTAAACGCGTTATCTCTCCTTTTAACTGGCTGACATCCGCACCTAACACACCGCGCAGTGAAATCAGAGCTTTTAACTCGGCTTCCACGACATTGCTTATTTTGTTAGTTTGTACTAACTTCATATCCTCTATGCATTTCTTGACTTCGTTACAGCTAAAAACATTATCAAGGTTGGCAACAAACTTATTGGCAATATCAAAAGCGTTGTTAAAATCAGCATCGGCTAATTCTTGGTTTGGTGCATGCGCCCAAGGGTTTCTAACTCCTGAACGAAGATTCTTAACGAGATCGAGATCCACACGCCTGTCTGGAGCAAAAGCTACATCTTTCATCCATACAAGAACGTTTAAAAGATGTGATAAATCAGTGGATTCTGCTTCAATAACGGTGCCCTTGTTGTCTCCAAGGACAGGCATGAAGAACTTAGCTACCTCCCATGGATCAACAGGCAACTTTGATGTGTCGCAGTTTTTACGCCATTGGATCTTTCGTTCATCTTTATTTAGATGTGATTTAGCCAGCTCTTTGTACCATCCATTGCAAGAGCGGCAAAGGTCGTCAGGCTTCTTTTTCATTTGGCAATTTCCAGGAATTAGGCATTGCCCAAATGCAAGGCAATCTTTACGCAGTGTGACATGCCATCTTTCCACGATATAGGTGGTGTACAAAGCGACAGGTTTCTTAATTAGATTGATCACTTCTCCAACGGTTAACCAGTTTATGTGTTCCTTGGACGAATTCATTCCTGATGAAGCAGAGCTCTTGAATGTAAAAAAAATAATATACGATAATGAAATAACATATAAAAATAACCATTATACCGTACTTACAGTTTGTAAAAATAACCACTAATTAACCTACTTAGAGTTTGTAAAAATAACCATTAACCTGTGCTAAAGGTAAATGTCGAAATCTTACGTGCGTTGTCAAATCACAACTGTCAACTGAATCAATTATTTATGCTACGTACATGTAAATCAGGGGCGCTGTCTTGGTCTCGCCGCTCGTGTTTTACTGCGCCCTCATGGTATACAAGTGACATGGCGCTATGAACTAAGGGCGCGCGCCCACCACGTGGTGGCCGGACATTTTGCCGAAAGACTGTTTGCCGAAAGACATTTTGCCGAACGGACATTTTGCCGACGGACATTTTGCCGAACGGACGTTTTGCCGAACGGACGTTTTGCCGAACGGACATTTCGCCGAACGGACAGTCTGCCGAACGGACAACTTGCCGAAAATAGAGATCTCTTCTGAACTTTAAAGGTTCGCTTACACGTTCAAATTTTCTGTGATTAAAGTCATTAATTGTCGATTTTGATGACAGAAACTTTGATAGTGAAGTAGTTTCGTTTTATATTTCAAACGTTTACCGAAATTTTGCGCTATAAAAAATAATATCATTTAACGTCATTCATGAACGGTAAAAGTTTATTTTGTATATATTTTACAAAAAGAATAACATCATTTAACATCATTCATGAAAGGTAAAAGTTTATTATGTATATATTTTACAAAAAGCATGCTTGTAACTGTTGTTCTACAAATTATGAGCAATAGCTCGACAGTACATTATCATGTTCTCGTGAGTGTCAATTTCACTAACAATATTTTTCAGTCGTTCATTAATCACCTGGTACTTCTTCTTTGGTGGCCGCTGAGGAATTCGGGCAAGCACTTGCTCCAGGAGAAGTTCGTTGCTGGCTTGTTCTTTCACTAGCTTCGCGGACAATCGACGGATTGTCGGGTGGGTGATTGCAACACGAAGATCAAAGGAATGATGCCATCCTTCGATGGAGTTATTTGTTCGCGGATGATCTTGCTCAACGCGACCGTTTACATTCCACAGAGAGATGGCGAATAAAGGACGGCGTCGACGACCGCGTTGAACCACACCAATCCAAGTGGCCTCAAAATAGGAAAGAAAATCTGACAGAAGTTCATCTGTTTCATCATGCGACTTTTGGTAAATTAGATGGCTTAAGTGGGATTGCAGATGACACCTTCATCTATGGAAAGAATGAAGCTGAGCACGATCAACGCATAATCGACGTCCTTGAAACCGAAAGAAAGAACAATGTACGATTCAACCCAGATAAATTTCAGTTTAAAGTAGAAGAAGCATCGTTTTTTGGGCTAACGTGGACCCCTGGTGGAATTAAACCAGACGAACATAAGATCAAATCTATTAGAGACATGCCCAGCCCAAGTAATTTAACAGAGCTGCAATCGTTTTGGGGAATGGTGAACTACTTGAACAGATTTTCTCCAATCTTATCCCAGATATCATTGCCTTTGCGACAGATGACGAAAAAAGATGTACCATTTATGTGGCAACCAGAGCAGCAACAAGCTTTCCAAGAGTTGAAGCAAGTAATTACAGAAGCTCCAGTTCTATCCTATTACAATCCTGAGAAGAAAAATTTGATCCAGTCAGATGCAAGTTTAAAAGGAATTGGGTGTGTGTTGATGCAAGATGGTAAGCCAGTATGCTATGCAAGTCGGTCACTGAGCGAAACCGAGTCACGGTACAGCAATATTGAGCGAGAACTGTTGGCTGCCTGCTGGTCCCTGGAGAAATTTAATCATTATGTGTTTGGCAAGAAGGTGGTAATCGAGACAGATCACAAACCGTTAGAAAGCATATGGAAGAAGAGTATCACTAGTGCATCGCCTCGCCTACAGAGACTTCTCCTGAGAATGTCGAAGTATGATGTTGATCTACGATATATCGAGGGCAAGAAGAATGTAATCGCGGACACCTTGTCCCGAGTCAGCTGCATGGAGCCACCTGTAGATGGAAATGAAGTGCCGTTGATAGAAATCAATGAAATTTCGAGTACATTACCAGCAAGTCCAACAAAATTGGACGAAATACGGGAGCAAACAAGACGAGATGCTACCTTGGATCACTTGAAAGAAGTTATACACCACGGATGGCTTGAGTATCCTAGCCAGTGTCCTTCTGACTTGAAAGAATTTTGGAACTTTCGCGAAGATCTTAGTGTTGAAAACGGCTTGGTACTGAAACGACATCGTCTTGTGATTCCAAGCAAACTCCGTCCACAGATGTTACAAATTGTGCATCAGGGCCATATGGGCACGGAGAAATGCCTTCTGAAGGCGAAAGACTGCTTGTTTTGGCCTGGGATTTCGAATGATATTAAGAAGATGACCACTACTTGTTCCACCTGTTTGCAATACTCGAAACAGCAATCGAAAGAACCGCTACACCCTCATAACGTTCCAAGTTTTCCCTGGCAAAAGGTTGGAACATACCTTCTTGAGTACGAAGGAGCACAATACCTGCTGGTAGCAGATTATTACAGTAAATATCCAATTTTACGAAAGTTGAATGGTACGACATCAAATGCTGTTATCAACCAATTAAAGTCAATATTTGCAGAATATGGAATACCTGAAACGCTAGTATCAGACAATGGCCCACAATATAGCAGTCGAGAGTTTTCAACCTTCTGTAGCCATTGGGGCATTGGCCATAGTACAAGCTCACCACTGTATCCTCGAAGTAACGGTTTTGTAGAACGAATGGTTCAAACTGTAAAGAACTTACTATGCAAGTCGGAAGCTGCAGGTGAAGACCCATATCTTGCATTACTTACATATCGGACAACACCCATAGACAACAACTTATCGTCACCAGCCAAGCTACTAAATCAACGAGAATATCGGACATTATTACCTTGTAGCGGAAGGCTACAACGATGCCAAACAACGCCAGCAAATCAAGAACAGCTTCAGCTGCCTCAAGATGTTCAGAAACGTCAGCATGATGTGAACTCTCCACGTGTGTTGTCTAAGCTGCTACCAGAGCAGAAAGTGGTGGTATTCCAGCCTCGAAAGAAAACGTGGACTCCAGGAAAAGTCATTCAAGAATCAAACAAGCCAAGATCGTATGTGGTTGAAACACCCAACGGGGGCGAAGTTCGACGTAACAGGATACACCTAAAACCTGTAAGTGAGGACGGCAGACAACCAGAAATAGAACATATGACGAGCGGGCACGACTGTTCACGTTCTAGTTTACAAGAAAAGATTCGTACCAGTGAACCTAACCTGGGAACTGCAAACAAAAGCAGAAAACCAGAAACAGACATATCAAGTGATAATCACCCTGAGACAACCAGTAGTGGCCGTATTATAAAGAAGCCAACTAGATTGAATTTATAAGACTGTGTAAACTTTCGGACACGAAGGACCAAAATAAGAAAAAAAAATACTAAACTTAGTAGGTAATTTCGATAAATATATGTAATCATACTTTAGGGAAGAGATGTAATATTATTATAGGCATAATTTATGTAATAAATTATAGAGTAATTAGGTATTAATTATGGACACATCCGGGTAACGGATTACTATATAAACAAGAACGAACTTAGATATTAGGTTATATCAAAATACGTACACACTTGTATCGATCGAAAGTTAGTGATTAACAATACTTTTACAGTATTATCTTCGTTATAGTTTTAAGAAATTCATTCCTGCAGTCTTTGACTTATATAATCATCTATCTCTGGATCAAATTTATATTTAACTCTTTGTAAATAGACATTATCGACTGTATTTATAAAGTTTGTTTACAGTAGACTTGAAGTCGCGCGTATGTCACGCGCGCGCGTGGGAACAGTTTCTGCGCCCACAATGAAAACCGCTGACTGTCCGTGATTTCTGGCCATGAGATAATTTCAGCATTTTGGATGGTATTCCATCAGCCCCGGTAGCCTTGGATACTTTTAGATTTTTCATGTTTTTTAGAGTATTGGATTCAGTAATTGTATGGATATAGATTTTTGAATTTACACCAGTTGAATTACAATGCATGTCTTCATAATCCGAAAGACGTTCACATTGAGCAGCGAGTGTTGGGCCAATATTAACAAAATAGTCGTTTAAGTGTTCAGCTATTTGTTTGCGATCATTATATATTACCATTAATATTAATTTCTGCAATGTTAGATGATTTCCCACCTTTTCCCAATAGGGTGTTTATCAGTGACCATGTTTTTTTCATGTCATTAGCTAGGGAAAATTCCTTAATTCTTGTTTGATAATAGACAGTTTTGGCCCTTTTCATTTCCGAGTTAACTTTATTTCTCTCCGATTTATATTTATCCCAGTGAACCTGGGAATTATATTTCTTTGCTCTCTTTTTATGATAGTCTCTGGATCTTATTAGTCTTTTAATGTTGGAATTTATCCAGGGAACAGAATTGTGCTTAATGCTTTTATAAATTAAGGGTGCATGTCTGTCAAGAGCTTCCAAATAAAAAGATTTCCAGACATGTCAGTTATCGTTCGGGTTCATATACTGTGTAGCTAAATACCAAGGTATTCTGGACAGTTAAGAGTGTGGACTCAATAAAATCAGTTTCATTAAATCTTTTGAAATTTCTAACTTTGGAACGGGTTTGCCTATATATAGGCATGGTCACTTTTTTCACTGCATAAATTAAACTGTGATAAGACATTACCAAGTCAATAACACCACTATTGGAAATGTTATTGGGTTGATTGGTGAACACTAGATCAATCAAAGATGATGATGTGCTTGTGACTCTAGTTGGCTCCTTGATCAATTGCTCTAAGTTATATAATGTGCTCAGAAATATTAACTTTTTGGTACTGGAGTCTTTTGGTGTCTTAATCTTTTACAATTTATGTCACCAATAACAACCAACTCCTTACTTTCAGCATCACATTTACTAAGAAATATTTCAAAAATATCAAATAATTTCATCTCAGAGTTGGGCGGTCTGCACCATGCACTAGTGAGAAATGACCTACTTCGTGGTTTACAAATCTCAATGGAAATCATTTCAAGATCATCTGAATTTAAATTCTTCCGCTCATAGAAGGAATATATCTCTCGAATATAAACAACCACTCCACCCCCAAATCTATTGCGATCTTTTCGAATCATATTATATCCTGGGATACTTATTTCACTATCTTTTACTGAATTATCAATTTTAGATTCGTTTATAGCAAAAACGTCGATTTCAAAATCGGATAACATCAGTTGAAGTTCATCAACATGTCTTAAGAGACTATTAATATTTAAGCTTGCTATTTTCAGCCCCCTTAGTTTTTTAATTTTATGCACTAATAAGAGTCTTTTTTACCTTCAGAGTCAGGCATCCTATTGTTTATCGATGAGTTCGCTTCTTTGACGTCTGGGGCATGATCATCCTTAATAGCAGCTCTCCCAGTTGTCGAAGTTCCTTCGGAAAACCCCCAGCACTTGATCGCGAGCTAGTTCCTCTAATAAATTTAATGAAGTGAACGGCCAGTAGCGCCGAACCTTTCGCATTAAGATGTAGCTTGGACCCATTCAGGCAAGTCGCATCTATGTTCCCATTTTCAATATAGGTATAGCCCTCTTTTGAGCATACATCCTTTAATAACTCATTCGTTTCTTGTGTCTTTAATATTACATCAATATCCTTTCTCGTTATAAGGCTGGATATCGCGATTCTAGCTTCCTTAAACGTGCTCTTTATTCTGGAACTTAGAAGCTGCATATTATCGAAGCATTCTTTGCTAGAGTCGGTGATTATGTTGTTAGTACCAGCGTGTATAATTACTTCTGTGGGAGGAGAGTGGACATGGGCCGATTGAAACTCGTTTGCAATTTCCTCTGCTCTCTTACCTGGATATGTTAACTTACGAATTGAGCTTTTTGAAGGTTTGTGTGGATTTATATCTTTAATCATTGAATCACCAATTAGCAAGATGTTATGTTAAAATTTGCCATCTTTCAATTTTCCACCTTCACGAATGTGTTTTTTTCCATCCTTAGATATTGTAGTTGTGTCTCGTACTGGGTCTTTATGTTGTCTAGCCTCTGATTGATCCAGATCTGATGGAGATTTGTTTACTTCTTCTTCGTGGTCACTAACGCTGAGAACTTCGAACTGCGTGCCGGTTCTTTAACTAACATGATATAGTTGTATCTGCTGTTATGGATACATTTTCGCTACGTTTTTTAACTTTTGTGAATTCTCGCTTTTCTCTGTTGCTCTTATCAAGGTCTTCTTGTAGCGTTCTTGTGGTAGCTCTTAGATTCTTGTTCTCAGATTCCAGGTCTTCCATTTTCTTTTTTTTTCTGCTAGTAATACTGATTCTCGCTGAATTAGCTTCAGGGCAGTTATGAGACTCGTCCTGAAGTTCTATAACCTTAGCTCTTACTTCAGACAGAGATTGAAATAAGTTCTTGTTTTTCTCCTTTAATTTCTCATTCTCTCTGTTAAGTTCATACTTTTCCTTCTTAAGCTCATTAACAGTTTCTTCAAGTATCAGTATACCGTAAGCAGCATTTTCTTTATTCTCCTTTATCGTTGAAATTTCTTCAGCTAGAGCATCTAGCTTTCTAGTAACATTTTGTGAATAATTTTCCAACTTAGAGTTTTAGTTCATAAAATTCTGCGGATTTATTGTAGTTTGCGTCGTTTGTGTTGGTTGAGTAACTTTGACCATTTGTCCGAGTCATTTCATTGTTCACGCTTCAGTTTCGTGACCTCGAATGCAAATTTCTATCTGCTGGCTCCAAAATATTTGCAACCTTTGGACTCTCCGAGTATACTTTGACTTCACCGCTCAATTTGCGGTCGAAATTTAATAGTTTTTCTTTTATTTCGTCGGCTTTTTCCCCCTTCACCGTCAAAGTTTTACTATTCGAATACCAACGTATCGAGACTTCCCCATTTTCGAACAGTTTACAGTAACCTCGGGCTTGTCCACCCTTTACTAGATTGTAGTTGTAGTCGGTCAACAGCTAGACGAAGCTCTTCGAAATTTTTTTGCCATTTCAAATTGCCATTGGCTATCATTAAAATGCTGCTCTAAATTAGTTCGCTATCACTTGATGGCTTCGTGAGATTAACAAGCGAATTGTTCTGGTTTAATTCGGATTCAGTTAGGTTTAGATCTCCCTCTATGCTGTTTAATTCTTCTGTAGATCTGCTAATTTCGTCTCGTTTACCGTTCGATTCTGATTCGTTTCGATTCTGTGTTATTGCTTTAGACATTTTATTGCCGTAACAATACTTATTAACAAAAAATTTAAGAGTATACAGAGCACCAAATGTACGTCCTGCTTAGCTGTGTCAACAACTGTTATAACTGACTAACTATTGTTCAAACGTTAAATTATTCTTTGCTTTTTCCGATGGTTGTTGTGCTGGCTTTTTCTTGGGAGGCATAGTATATTCGGCAGATTACTATCGCCTATATATGTATCTATTCTCAGTGAGTCAATGTAATTTAGAATAAGGATAATAATTCAAGTTTTTCAGGAGCTCAATTAGGCACACCCGTCTGCTATGCCCGCCCGACTGCTATAATCTAATCTGCTATGCCGCCCGACTGCTATATTTTAATTAAAATCAGGATTCGTTCCAAAATTCACATAACCATTAAGGATTCTTTTAAGTCCTGGTTCACTGAAGCACAGGTCATTTTAAAGTCTGCATGCAAGTTTTTGGTATATCGCCAAAATGGATTCAGCACCGCTATTTCCTTTGAAATTTGACCTAGTTACAGGTAAATGGGACGATCGTGAAGACAAAGCAAAGCCTGCAGAAAGATTGGCAGTTGACCTAATGGACCATTTGCATTATAGGCTAAATTTTGATCTAGACAAAAATTTCATCACAGCTTGAAAGAAAGAGCATCACAAAATTAGTAATATTCCAAAGTTTCATTGCGAAATGTTGTAAAATGCGGATAATATAGCCTTGCGAAATTTGCATTTTCAGTCATTTTGTATTACAAACGGGAAATTGATGCCCCAACACCCGATTAGACTGTCAATTTCCCGTGCGTTATACAAAATGACTGAAAAACGGCAAACTTCGCAAGGCTATATATTATCCGCATTTTACAACATTTCGCAACGAAACTTTGGAATATTACTAATTTTGTGATGCTCCTTCAAAGCTGTGATGAAATTTTTGTCTAGATCACAAATTAGTCTATGCTGCAAATGGTCCATTTCAGATGAAATGCGTGCAACAAGATATCCTCCAAGTCCAGGAAAACTATTTAAAACGTTTTTATCTTCTGAGTTTCTGTGTATTGTGCAATTACCTAAGAAATGGAATAAACGTCGCCTGAAATTTAGTAACTACGTAAAAATAGGTGTGTTGCAAAACACGCAAAAATGTGTTATATAGCACGTTAAGTGTGTTATACAACACATTTTACTCTTGAGATTTTGACATAACACACCTTTGTGAGTTAAATAACACACACATGTGGGTTATCTAACACACAGTGTACAGTGCTTAACACACAGCGATGGAGGTGAATGTGTTAGATAACACACTTTCAGAAAAACACACCTTTTCTACCGTGTAAGTTAGCACACCCTTCCTATGAAACGTGTGTTAATTAACCCAAGTTTAAAGATAAACACACTTAATTAAATAGAAAAACACACTGCACAGAATAAACACACTTAACCAACAAACACACTTTTCCAAAACACACATCTTAAACTAACACACTTTTATAAAACACGCTTTATAGTAGCAAGCCTGATCGCAGGCTATAGGGCTCGCTCGATTACAGGTATCGGCAAATTAATTGCCAAATTGGTAAACATTTAGAGATTTATAAATTAATTCGAGTATTTAAAGCCCGTGGTCAAGTCCGTAATGTAAACAAATACTTTGTTTACATTTTGAACTGCTATATTTGTAAAATAAGACTAACACTTTTCTGGTTCGCAATTGTAAATGAATATAAACTAGAGTACATTTCAATTCAAAAAAGTTCCAAAGTCAAGATGCAAAAATTGGGCAATTTTTATATCTGTTGAGTGTGGGTCCCCTTTGTTATGAGCAGAACGGACTTGATATGGTCTTTACATGTAATACTGAAACAATCAAATATTATTTACTGGCTGATTAACAATTTCACAAAGGAATCATTTGAATTCACAAGGGTTCACTGGATAGTATAACAGAAATAGTTCCCATGTGTCATGTGTGTCATACAGATTGGAAACTGGAAAGTTAAACGTATGCGAGGAGCACAAGCAATCAAAATTCGACCTCAAAATATTGCATTTCAAATTTTATAACATAACACAGTAACACACCATGAAGCCGAAATATTTGAATATTCGCGCGCCGCATGATCGAGCTTTCGAGTTTTCAACCAATGAGGAGAGTGCCGCTGTGAAATCTAATACCTTCTTCTTGCAATCGACAGTGGCATTAGTTTGTGGTCGTTTGTATGGGAATATATGTGCAATTTTGATGCGAGGGGTTCCTTTCATGTGTCAGTGCGATGGAAGCGATACAGACTGATTAAAATGGCTTTAGTATTTTCATATTTCAACCATAAAGATGGCTTTAAAACAGAGTGAGGAAGAAGCGAGCATGGTTGCAGTTTGTATTTGAATGACAACGCCAACGGTCTGGCCGCCAAATTATGCAATTCAAAACGTGTGGTTCACAGCGTCAATACTAGGAATTCCGCTTTGATAGAGAAGTAGACGAAGTGGATTATACTAGTTCGCCTGTAACTTCAAAGATGTGATAAACGTACGTCGAAAGGAATAAGGTGAGTTTTATATAATGCGAGAATTATAAATATGTAGTGATTGTTGTCTGCGATTGTCATATAATACCACCGCTTTAACATTCATGCGGACGCCGGAGGCTATACTCTGCATTGTGAATTTGCAGTCTCAGTTATAAAGAAAACTTGCTCGCGTTTTGATATACAAGCAGCTTTGTCTGATTATTTTATCTTGCGTTTACTGTTTTCATTTCAATTATAAGGTCAAGTATTTTAGAACCCGAGTTGGAAAATAGCCCAACCTCGACTATATCATATACATATAGGAATAGAGGAGTTTGTACATTCTATTCAAATTACGCACAACAACACAGATAACAATATTTTATTCATTTAATTTCAATGCCAAACTGTAATGTTTTTATATTGATTACTGAACGGTGGAATTTCTTTTATTAATACTCTGTGTAAGATGATATACAGTATACACTAATACAGCTGGACCTGGCTCCCATTGGTCATTGATAGGTAAAATTACTTAGCATAAAAAGATCCCCTCGGCAAATAAAATCAAAATTGTCTGGCATTAGACAGAATAAAACAATAAAATAAGGTACTGTATATTTGGAAACATTGCAGGTTAAAAAAATCGAATATATACAGTAAAATTAGAGTTGGCAAAAAATATTCATGAAGCACCAGCTCAGACAGGGGGAGTCCTGAGTATTAATATTTCAGAGCAAAAATATTTATTATTATATAGTGTTATCATTATAAAATTGCCAAACATAATTCTAGTTCTCAACCATGTCAAACGATAAAGTAAACTTAATAAAGTGCTTATTGCCACACCTGATAGAATCTCATTTTACAGTAGATTAATTGCCGCATGTAGTGTTAAGGTGAGATGGCACATCTCTTATCCGTCCTGGACAAATGGCGCATTTGACACAGGTAACACTATAATGAAGTAATTTTTCTTTTTTGAAATGGTGATGTATCGACATGATTTTTCAATGGCAATATGCAATTGGACTTCACCAGTGATTAATTATATAGTTAAAGGGCACTTGCTCAATGGCTTCCCTGTTAGATACTGGATACCTTTCAAAGTAGATTAATTGCTACATGTAGTGGTAAGGTGAGATGGCACATCTCTTAACCGTCCTGGACAAATGGCACATTTGACACAGGTAGCACTATAATGAAGTAATTTTTCTTTTTTGAAATGTCGATGTATCAATATGATTTTTCAATAGCAAAATGAAATTGGACCTCACCAGTTATTAATTATATAGTTAAAGGACACTTGCTCAATGGCTTCCCTGTTAGATACTGTACTCATTTTGAAGTAGATTAATTGCTACACGTAGTGTTAAGGTGAGATGGCACATCTCTTAACCGTCCTGGACAAATGGCACATTTGACACAGGTAACATTATAATGAAGTAATTTTTCTTTCTTGAAATGGCCATGTATCGTTATGATTTTTCAATGGCAAAATGCAATTGGACTTCACCAGTGATTAATTATATAGTTAAAGGGCACTTGCTCAATGGCTTCCCTGTTAGATACTGTATTCCTTTCAAAGTAGATTAATTGGTACATGTAGTGTTAAGGTGAGATGGCACATCTCTTAACCGTCCTGGACAAATGGCGCATTTGACACAGGTAGCACTATAATGAAGTAATTTTTCTTTTTTGAAATGCCAATGTATCGATATGGTTTTTCAATGGCAAAATACAATTGGGCTTCACCAGTGATTAATTTTATAGTTTAAGGACACTTGCTCAATGGCTTCCCTGTTAGATACTGTATTCCTTTCAAAGTAGATTTATTGGTACATGTAGTGTTAAGGTGAGATGGCACATCTCTTAACCGTCCTGGACAAATGGCGCATTTGACACAGGTAGCACTATAATGAAGTAATTTTTCTTTTTTGAAATGCCAATGTATCGATATGGTTTTTCAATGGCAAAATACAATTGGGCTTCACCAGTGATTAATTTTATAGTTTAAGGACACTTGCTCAATGGCTTCCCTGTTAGATACTGTATTCCTTTCAAAGTAGATTTATTGGTACATGTAGTGTTAAGGTGAGATGGCACATCTCTTAACCGTCCTGGACAAATGGCGCATTTGACACAGGTAGCACTATAATGAAGTAATTTTTCTTTTTTGAAATGCCAATGTATCGATATGGTTTTTCAATGGCAAAATACAATTGGGCTTC